TGATTGGCTAACATCATCAGTTGCCAGGCAGACTATATTGTTGAGCGGGTTGCTTACGCGGTAAGCAGGAAACTAACGTGCTCGATGGGAGGGGCAATCTACCTCAGGCTTCACTCTTTACTACAGGCCTCACGTCCGCCAAGTGAGGCGACCGGGCTCGGGGCTGCGGCTCCCAACAGGCACCTGGCTCCTGCAGGACTTGCTGGAGCTACTGCTGCCTGCGCTGGGAGGCCTGTTTTCCCTAGTCCTCCTCCCCTGCCAGCAGATGGTACCCAGTGCAATTGTTTCCATTTTCCTTACAAAGGCTTCACACTTTGGCCAGGTTAAAAGGGCCGCAGGGAAACTTAATAATGCCATGGAATCCCACTGGGTCACAGCCTAGCACTGAGGACACTTTGGAAAGATGTCTCCCGCTGTGCTGTGAGATGTGGGACTCCCGCCCAGCTTGGATTCTGTGATGGGGAAGTTGGTACCTCTTAAGGCAGGAAGGTTAGGATCTGGAGGTGCCTTCCCTGCTGCACATACGCCCATGGCATTCTGTCTTTGCCCGCAAGTTAGCAATGCAGCCAGCAGCCACGGGCCAGACCTTCCCCATGAGCGCTGTACGTTGACGTGAGTATGACGCCTTCCCCTCGGCCTCATTGCTGCACTCAGAGGGTGCCATACAGGGCCGGTTACTGCTCCAACCCGGGAGTAAGGAGTCTTAGCTTTTCTGAGCCCAGAGAGGGTCAAGGAAGGAAGCTATCTGCACAGACTGGGGGCTCTGCTGGAAAAAGGGGTGAGGGGTGGAAGCCAGAATGTCTGATGCCATTTATGAGTGTACAGGACCAGGCCCCACATGCCAGAGGCAGCACCGCTGGTGATGCTCACTGTGTGGTCTTAGGTTCCATTTCCTTAGGAGCAGGCTTCTCTGGCTCAGGTTGAAAGTCCTTTGTGTCCAGTGCCTGTGATCAGAAGTGACAGTTCCAGCCTGGGAACTGAGCAGCTTTTGCTCGGAGTTGGGGAAGGCAGCCAGGCATGCCGAGAGTGTTTCAGCTTTCTCTCTAAGCTCTCCCCTTCCTCTCTGCTGCATACTTCCCCTACTGGGTAGAACCAACCTGGATGGAGTTGTCAGTTTTATACATCCACATTCAGGAGTTTCTACCAGTGCGTTTATTCTGACTTCTCCCTGGCCCCAGGAGGTGGGTGCTACCCCCCTCCTACTTACTGCCGAGAAGCCTGAGATCAGAGAGTGCCCAGCGTCCAGGGGGCTGGATTGGGTCAAGTCCATCTGGCCTTTAATCTCTCTGCGTAGTGTGTCCTCTTTGGGGAGGTGCCTGCAGCCTACAGAGCACCCTAGAAGCTCAGGCTGGCTTGGGATGCCACCCAGTAGACACGACTGCTTAGCAACAGCGTCTGATAAGATGTAAGACATTATTTTATTTCTTTGTATTTGTTAAGGCTTGCTTTATGGCCTAAAATACGGTCTGTTTTTGGAGTGTGCTCCATGAGCTGCTGAGAAGAATGTGTATTTTGTAGTTGTATGGAGTGTTCTGTAGACAGCTGTTAAATCCATTTGCACTGTGGTGTAGTTTAACTCTGATATTCCTCTCCTGATTTTTTTTGGCATGTGTGTGTGGGGGGTCTGGATGAGAGTCAGAGTGAAGCATTGAACTCACTATTGCTGTAGTGGAACCTAAATGTCCCTTTATGTTGATTACTGTTTGTCTTATGAAACTGGGCATACTGATTGGTCTGTGCATATTTATTTACAATTGTTTTATCTTCCTGGTAGATTGTTCCCCTTTACCAAAATACAGTGGCTTTCTTTGTCTCATAAAATTTTGTCTTTAAATCTGTTTTGTGAGATAGGAATTTAGTCACTCCTGTTTGTTCTCAGGTTCCAGTTATGTGGAATATTGTTTCCTGTTCTTCTACTTTTAATCTGCATCTTTGCTAGTGAGGTGTGTTTCTTGCAGTCAGGCGAGTTGGATCTTGTTTTTTAATCCAATCTGACAGTCTGTGTTTTAATTGAAAAATTAAAGCTATTTCCATCCAGTCATTTAGAAAGGTGTGTACTAATTCCTGTCATGAAGTTGTCTTTCCTCGTTCTCAGTAGTTTTCTACCCTTCTCCTGGGCATAGGATTCCTTTAAGTGTCTTCTGCAATACTCATTTAGTGGATATGAGTTTCTTTAGTGTTTTGTTGCTGTTGTTGTTGTTGGGGGGGGGTTGTTGTTTTGTTTATCATGAGTTGTTTATTTCTCCTTCAGTTTTGTGGCGTACTTTTGCTGGTGTAGTAATGTGTATTGGATACATCATTCTGTGCTCTCCTGGCCTACAGGATTGCCACAGATAAGTCTGAAGTTGTTTTCATGGCTTTACCTATACAAGTCGCTTGGTGTTTCTCCCTTGCTGCTTTCAGGATTCTTTTCTTGTTCTGTGTTCTTGCTGTTTTAGCTGTAATGTGTTGTGGGGAGACTCTTTTGGGGTGATGCCTGTTTGGGGTTCTAAATACTTCTTGAACCTGTTTCTGGATCTTTCCTAGTGCTTGGAAGTTTCATGTTATTATTTCACTAAATAGTTTTCTGTGCCCAGCTCCCCCTCACCCCACGACTGTCTCTTCCCACCCAGTCACAGTGGTGGGGTGACCCTGGAGCCCCTGAAGTGCAGCAGTTCTGCCTCCTCAGATCCCTAAAGTAGCCTGTCTTCAACAAACAGTAAGTCCCTGTCGGAGTGGACCTGCTGGTGCCCCTCCTAGCCATGGCAGGCGCTGCAGTGGATTTCTTCTCCATGCCAGCTGCCATGTGGACGGAGTCAAGCTCACAGTGAAACCCACACTGTATTTGCAGTGCGCCCTGGCCGTGGGCTTTCCCTGGGCTGGTGCTTCAAGTCCGCTGGCTCTCCCTAGAGCTGCAGCGCTGCCTTTGTTTGTGGAGATGGGGCCGTGTGCTCTCCCCGCCACCTGGAAGGCTTTGTTCCTTCTCTGTGTACTGCCTTCTGCTTCACGATCTCGGCCTTCCCTGCCCGCTCACTCTCAGTTCCCAGAGCCCCTCTTCTCTCTGTCTCACTGATTGTTCCCGAGGTATCTCCATCCCAGGTCCGAGAGGCTGTGGTCTGCTGCTGGCTTCAGTCTACCATATTGAATCTCCCTTTCCTGTCTCTTACAAGGGCACTTTCATTGGATTTAGGGTCCATCTGAATACAGTATCCCCATTTCAAGATTCTCCACTGATGACATGTGCAAAAACCCCTTTTCCAAACAAGGCCATCTTTTAGGGCTCTGGAGACACTGTGCAGTGCTGCAGTTGGTCTGCATAGGAGTCAGGTGGAAGGGTGCAGTTCCATCTGGAGACAGGTCCAGGCCTGAGACTGTGGCCTCCCTGCCTTCTGCCATCCTCAGCAGCAAGGGTAAAGGTCTAGAGGCCTCTGGGCACCCTAGGTGACCATGTCTGGTGTCTTCATTTCTTTTTTGGTTGAGGGGGTCTCAAAGATAGTAGCCTTTATGGCATGGCAGGTGACCTTCAAGTGGCTTCTCCTTTGTCCTCAGAGGCATACAGTGTGGGTGGGTACTGTCAGGGTGTTCAGACACTGGCTGTACCTGGGAAGCCACCACTGCAGGAGCCCAGGGCCTCCCACCGCGTCCTGCCAAAGTGTCAGGAGGTGTCCTAGGGTCAGGCTTCGTGGTCCCCAGACAAGGTTGCCATCAGGCAGAGTGACTCAAGGCCCAAGTGTCCGTTCCTTGAGGAGGGCCACGCCAGCCACTTCTTTCTCATCCCTCTGAGAGCGGACATAGGAAGCCGTCCCTTTGTCTTGCCTGTGTTGCTCCTGGTACCCCACTTCATATTGGGGTGCTGAGCAGGTAAGAAGCTGAAGCTGGCCTGTTGCTTCCTCTTGGTCTTTCTGACACTGAAGGACCAGAGAGTGACCTGTCCATTGTCACACAGCAGGGTGACAGGCGTGGTCTGTGGTTTCACAGGGTCCTGGCTATGGCATGTGGCCATCATGTGTGGTGCACACCCACATGGGCGCACTCTGATGTTCTAGGGACCAGGTGACGTGAAACAGCAGCCCACAGAGTGTGCATTACAGTTCCGGTCACTGTGGCTGGGGCAGGGCTGCGGCCCATTGAGACAGCTGGGAGGTCACCCCCGTCTTTGGCTCCTGAGGTGAGTCAGGAAGCAGCTGGGTGATAGCAGTACGATGAGAAAGTGACAGCAAACCGCCTGGGTCGTACACAGGAGAGAGCAGCTCACAGCTTATGCTGGTGGCCATCATGCAGTGCCTGGCCTTTTCCGAATCTGCTGCACCCACAACCCCTAGACTGGGAAGGCAGCGTATGCCAGGGAGACAGCAGTTCTGCTTGGAGCAGTGTGGATGGTTCACCACTGTCCCTCCCAGTGATGGAGCTGAGACACTGGACATGGTAGGCCGAGGGAGGAGCAGGACCTCAGTCCACAGCTGAGGAGCAGCACAGGGTGGGTCCCCTGCACTACCTTTTCATCTTCTGTGGGTGCCAAGAAACACCGGGAATGGAGACAAAGCCCAGGCCTTCTTGGCAGAGTGCAGGAAAAGGAGCAGCCGAACTGAGCAGGAACCATCTGTCAATAGACATCCTTCCTGGAAAACCCCAGGGAAGACTGCGTCCCCTCCCACACAGAGGCATACATGTCCCCTCTACCCACTGTGGGAGGCCTGGGCAGGAGGCCCAGAGCCACAGCCCAAGGCTCTGTGCTGGCTGAGCCTGGCTGGGGTTGGCCAGGGCTCCACTGACTGGGGGTTCATTTGGGCCTCTGGGGACTCTGAGCTGGATGGGGCTACTGGGATGGAGGGCACTGGCAGAGTAGGTGGTGCAGCTGCCCTGCAGCCCGCTGCCTGTAGCTTCCTGTGAGTGCCATGTGTCTAGGGCTCTCTGCTGGGTGGGCACGCAGAGCCAGCGGTGTCTGGCATCAAGGGAGCAAAGTGTGTCAGGGCTCTGCACCGCCCAAGCCAATTCCTTCTTCTGTGTTCTCTCCCCTGCAGGCCTGCGCTGGTCCTCAGGTGCGCATGGGGATGGGTGCGGCCTGCCTGGCTGGTGGCATTTCCCTGCAGCCTGCTGCACCTTAATCCAAGGCGGTGGCCCTAGGATGCACCTGTCTGCGGTGCTCAACGCCCTCCTGGTGTCGGTGCTGGCGGCTGTCCTGTGGAAGCATGTGCGGCTGCGTGAGCACGCGGCCAGCCTGGAGGAGGAGCTGGCCCTCAGCCACCAGGCTCCAGAGCCTGGCGTGGCCCCACGCATTGACTATCCCAGGGCCCTGCAGATCCTGATGGAGGGCGGCACACATATGGTGTGCACAGGCCGGACGCACACGGACCGTGTCTGCCGCTTCAAGTGGCTTTGCTACTCCAGCGAGGCCGAGGAGTTCATCTTCTTCCACGGCAATGCCTCGGTCATGCTGCCCAACCTGGGCGCACGGCGCTTCCAGCCAGCGCTACTTGACCTGTCCACCGTGGAGGACCACAACGCGCAGTACTTCAACTTTGTGGAGCTGCCTGCCGCTGCCCTGCGCTCCATGCCTAAGCCCGTGTTCGTCCCCGACGTGGCGCTCATCGCCAACCGCTTCAACCCGGACAACCTCATGCACGTCTTCCACGACGACCTGCTGCCCATATTCTACACTCTGCGCCAGTTCCCGGGGCTGGCCCACGAAGCCCGGCTCTTCTTCATGGAGGGCTGGGGCGAGGGCGCGCACTTTGACCTCTACCGGCTGCTCAGCCCCAAGCCGCCCCTCCTGCGGGCCCAGCTCAAGGCCCTGGGCCGCCTGCTCTGCTTTTCCCATGCCTTCGTGGGCCTCTCCAAGGTCACCACTTGGTACCAGTACGGCTTCGTGCAGCCCCAAGGCCCCAAGGCCAACATCCTCGTGTCTGGCCATGAGATCCGGCAGTTCGCGCGCTTCCTGACGGAAAGGCTGAATGGGAGCCACTCGGGGCCCTTGCCAGCTGAGGACTATATCGTGGTCTTCAGCCGCACCCACAACAGGCTCATCCTGAACGAGGCCGAGCTGCTGCTGGCGCTGGCACAGGAATTCCAGATGAAGACAGTGACAGTGTCACTGGAGGAGCATACCTTCGCAGACGTGGTGCGGCTGGTCAGCAGCGCCTCCATGCTGGTCAGCATGCACGGGGCACAGCTGGTCACTGCGCTGTTCCTGCCACGGGGCGCGGCCGTGGTGGAGCTCTTCCCCTATGCCGTCAACCCTGACCACTACACGCCCTACAAGACGCTGGCCACGCTGCCCGGCATGGACCTGCAGTATGTTGCCTGGCAGAACCTGCTGCCCGAGAACACGGTCACGCACCCCGAGCGGCCCTGGGACCAGGGTGGCATTGAGCACTTGGACCGCGCCGAGCAGGCCCGCATCCGGCAGAGCCGCGAGGTCCCACGGCACCTCTGCTGCCGGAACCCTGAGTGGCTCTTCCGCATCTACCAGGACACCAGGGTGGACATTCCGTCCCTCCTTCAGGCCATCCGGCGCGTGGTAAAGGGCCGCCCGGGGCCACGCAGGCAGAAATGGGGGGTCGGCCTGTTCCCTGGCAAGGTGCGGGAGGCGCGATGCCAGGCAGCCGTGCAGGGCGCCTCTGAGGCCCGGCTCACAGTGTCCTGGCAGATGCCCTGGAATCTCAAGTTCCTGAAGGTGCGGGAGGTGAGGTATGAGGTGTGGCTGCAGGAGCAGGGTGAGAGCACCTACGTGCCGCACACCCTGGCGCTGCAGAACCACACCTTCACTGAGAACATCAAGCCCTCTACCACCTACCTAGTGTGGGTCCGCTGCATCTTCAACAAGACGCAGCCTGGGCCCTTCGCAGATGTGCTGGTCTGCACCACGTAGCGGCATCGGGCCGGCTCTGTGGTCCTACAGTGGTGACTGCGGACGATGCCTTTATTCATTGAGCAGACGGCAGCCTGTCTTTCCCCCTGCCCCTGGGGGTGGACGCCCACCCTTTCTCTGTCCTGGTCATCCACACTGAGGCCCCTTACAAAGAGGAGGTGAGGACCCAGGAACTACACTGGCTAAGTGACCTTGTTTCCTTCCGAGTCCCTGGGGTTGGTGCCAGGCCCCTGGGGACCTGCCATCATGTGGTCAGCAGGTTCACTGGTGCACCAGTGTGTCCAGAAGGGTCATTAAATGATTATGAATGTCTAGGGGTGTTCTCATTGGACAGAAAGCAGGGCGCTGGTCTGGGTGCTCTGACATCTGTGGTCACCCAAAGAGGCAGAAGGGGCAGTGCCCGCATGGTGGGGTAGGCAGGGCGCGTGGGGGGTGGAAGCCTGGCGGTGCATGGGGCAGGGCGTGGGGCAAGGAGCCACCTCCATTAGGGCTTCCCTGAGGCTCGGCTGGATCCACAAACCTGGGACCTGTGCACTGTCCCTGCCTCCTGGTTCCCCCAGAGGGATGTGGCACTGTCGCCTCCCCAGGAGGAGACCTTGAGAGTGCTCATGCAGGAGGGGATGAGAGCACATCAGTATCCCGGGACCCAGCGCTTCAAAGCCTGAGTCATCACCCCCCAGGCCCTGCAGAGAGCCGTCTGGCTCCCAGAGCTCGACGTTTCCCAGTCCACACAGCCCTGCTGCCATTCATCATGCTGGGGCCAGAACCCCAGTGTCCTACATGGGGACAGAGTGGACTGCCGACCTAGGCTCAGGTCGTCCTGTCAGGGAGAGGAGATAATGGGCAGCAGGACGGAGGTGCAGCTGGCGGGGAGGACAAGGAGCCTTGCTATGGCTCAGGCAGAGAAGGCAACTCCAGCCATGGGAGTGCCCAGGCCGAAGCCATCTCCCACACTGTTCCTGCAGCCCACAGCCACCGGGAGAGGCGGCCTCCATCCTGCCACAGGGCTGTCCATCATTCAGTCTCTGCAGCAGCCAAGTGCCTAGCTCCTCCTCACAGGCGCCATGTCCCTTTCTGTCTTTCCTGTCCCTGACCGTAGCCTCCATCCGGCAGCAGCCACACAGGAGACCTGACCCCAAACTGGAAGTCTGGGATATGACTGGCTGCAGGGGGTGGGATGGGGCCACGTGTTAATTAATCTGTAAATCTGATGGAATCCCTGTCACACCACCAGAGGGTTTTTGGAGGGCAGTGGGAGAGGAGTGGCCTGATTCACACATTCCAGGCAAATGCACAGAAGAGGTAAAGAAAAAAGGAAGAAAAGATGGGCGCTGGCCTTGCTGCAGGGCAAAAAAGTAACTTCCACTAAAACAGTGAAAATCATGTTGATGGAGAAGTTGAGAAGTTAGTATCAGGGGACAGAGCAGTGCACACCTGGCCCATGTGTGGACGTTAGGCGGGAGGTGACGCTGCAGGTCAGCACGGGAGGAACCACTGGCTGCACCTGGTGCTGGCATGGTAGGCTGGCTGTGTGGAGGAAGCTGGGTCCCCGTCCTCCAGTGTCCTCTCCTGTGGGTCTGCAGTAGCTGTGAAAGCATTGCCACACAGCATTCTAACAGGCTGCAGGGAGTGCGTGACAGCCTCTTGGGGGTATGAGGCAGTCTGCATGGAAATAAAACTTTTCCACCTGGCCAGAAGCTCCAGAGTCAAGACACACATGGAGACTGCAGGGGCGCAAGAGCACCAGGCTTCTGCATAGGTGAGATCATCGGTGCTTACTACACACAAAGACCTCGGGCTCAGCGACAGCAGCCAAAGAATGCCAGTGACTCCTGCCGAGTGAGTCAAAGGAAATGCAGTCTTTAGGATTTCCTCTCATGTGGATTTCAGAAGCTCTGAGGAGAGCAGTGCTGGCGCGGGCTTAGGGAAATGAGTGGTTCTCTGCCCTCTGGAGAAGTGTAAGTTGAGGCACATTTCAGAGAGGATTTGGCAATTTCTCTCAGAATTGCAGAGCCCTTTGACCTGCACATAAGGGAGCCCTGCGACAGGTATTCCCACACCCAGCCTGATGTCTGCAGCCAACCTAAACGTCCACTCTCACCAAGAAAGCTGAGTGAAATGCGGCACATTCCTGTAATCGTCAGTACTATGCAGACCGGTTCTGACGCAATAACCGTGAACCGCCAAGCACACAAGGACCTGGTACGTTATTTTAATTTGCATGTAGTGTGAGCCTGAGACAGACACACATCTCTGGGGAACCCCCAGGAAGTTCACTTTTTGTCTTCTGTACTTCTATTTGGGAATTTTGTTTTAGTGAGCATGTATTTACCATTTTTAAACCAAAAATAAGAATTGAGTACCTAATCTCTTAGCACGTGGGCCAGAGGTGTAATTCTAGGAGTCCTTTTACCTGACTTGTTGCACGTGTGTACAGTGCACACACACACCAGGCACGCCTGCTGACCTGTGCATGTGCAGTCTCCCAGCTGTGCACAGAGCCCGTGCACCGCTGCAGGTAGGTGGTGCAGTGCCCAGAGCATCCCTAGACCCATTCATGGGTGCCCAGGGCTGAGAGCCAGCACTCAGAAGGCAGAAGCGCAGCACCACCTCCACCACTCCAAGCAGCGAGGCCTGGGATGCCCACGCATCCTGCTTTCTGGCGCCAAGGATGCCGTCACCTCAGGGTCATATCACGCGGCACCTGGTGGTGGCTTGGCCGGCCTGCTTGGGCAGCAGTAGCCCCCAGGTCCTCATCCCGGAAGAGTGGGAGGTTGTGCTTCCGGATGTGTCCCAGCAGGATCCGTCCCCGCTGCTCCAGGGTCTGGAGGATCCGTGTCAGCCCCAGGGCCCCACCTTGGCTCTCCCAGAACACTAGGTCCGTCTGCAGGGACTTGAGCAGCAGGTTCTGTAAACAGCCAGACGCCAGAACCTGCACAGCTGCCTCTGGAAACCTGGAGCCCACGACAAGAAAAGCAAGGTGACCTCAGAGAGTCCCTGTGAAAGGTGAGGCAGATGGGCAGCCCCCTAGACCGTGCTGCTCTCTCGTACCCAACAGACAGACTAGCAAATTGGGTAGGGGAGGACAGAGCCTTCTGCAGGGCCTGTCCCACAAGCCCAGGTCACCCCTGTCACCCAGGTAGGGCAGCGTGAGCACAGGAAGGCTGGGTGAGTGGCATGGCAGGAGAGGTTCTGCTGGCAGTGGGGTGGCTGCGTCTCACAGGGCAGAGGTCCTGGACATGAGCTGCCCACCCTCCTGCTCTATGCCTCCTCACAGGCCCCTGCCTGTCCCAAGCCCAGATCCAGCAGAGTGGGCCCCTGCCCAGCCCCCGAGATCCTCACCCATCTATGCCCTCCAGCAGCCGGAAGTTGAGCTTGTCCTCCGGGTGCTGCAGGGTGCCTGCATTGTCGATGTAGACCAGGTGAGATGGGTCACTGCTCCGGACCTGGGGAAGGAGGTGGCCAGAGACAGTGGGCACAGGAGCAGGCTCATGGCTTTCAATTCACCCTATGGCAGGGGCCTCCCTGGCATCGGGATGAACCCTGCCAGAGTCCTCAGGGGGCACGTAGGTCACTTGTGACACAGGAACAGAGCTGTAGGACTGTGAAGCCACCTGCAGACAGTGTCCATCCAGGCCAGAAGGGTGGGGATCCAGGGTTCAGAGGGAGCCTGCTCCCCAAGGCCACAGGCCTGTGCTGCCTGCCCAGCGATGTGCTTCCTTCAGATGGAGTCTGCAAGGCTCCATTTCCACAGGAGGAATCTGCACCCAAAGCCTCTTCCCAACCAGAACACTAGCCACAAAGCCCTCTGCACTGCTCCTGAAGACTGTGTGGCATGCACAGTCCAGCACCTGTGTCCTTCCTTCCTGCGTCATTCCTCATCCACCTGCTTTCCTGTCAGCTGCAGCACCCTGGCTCTCCTCCAGGGCCCCACTCTCCCCTCTCTCCTGTTCTTAGATCAGAGCCATGGGGTTCCTGGAGATTCTTGGGGGTCCTGGCTGGGGCGAGGCCCCGAACGTACCAGGATATGCACCAGCCGCAGCTCCTCCGGGTTCCGGCACTTCTCTCGCAGCCGCTCTTCCACGCAGGGGTCTGAAGGCTCAGGCTGGAAGCCACAGCAGTAGCGGTCCAGCCGGTCATGCACCTGTTGGGGGACAGCCAGCCTCTAGGGACCCCACCCATGGTATACCTCGGGACCGCCAGGCTCCCATATGCCCACCACCAGCCCACACATCTGCTCGTCCACTTGTCTTGATTTCTGCTTAGGGCAGAAAGTGAGATCTCAAGAGACCTGGGTGTGGGAGGACTTGTTTGACAAGAGACAAAGAAAAACCAGGCCTTGGGAGGGTCCACCCTGCACGGAGCTCCCGGGGCACCCTTTGCACTCAGCCTGTTTGGCCATGTAGCTCTTCTTCATCTGACAGCGGGGGCCATGGAGATGTGGCCTGGAGACTGTGGCACGCTGGAGGGACAATCAGGGCGGTGCCAGGCAGTACAGACTGGGACAGAGCCCGTGGTCAGCAAGCCCTGGGTAGCTGCTCCCCTGCCAACCTGGTCCTGGAGGGACTGGGGACCCCTCCCAGGGACAGAACCTCGGCCACCTCATCCCACAGGGTAACACCGGCACCTGCTTCTCAAGGACATTGATGGTGACGTGGCATAACAGGGGAAACGTCGAGCCTGTGCCCAGCTCTCACAGAGCTCCTGGAGCCCCAGAGGTTCCACTGGGAGCGCCTCTATCCAAACTTCTGGGAGGGACCCGGGCCTGGAACCCTCCCAGACCTCCCTGCCACCTCCTCACCTAGCTGTGCCCTGAAGGAAAGTGTCTCCCTGAGCTCTGTGTCCCTCTCTCACACTCCTGGACAGGCCGGTCCTGAGAGTCCCTGATCTGTCCCCAGGCCACCAGAAGTACAGGCGCACCAGCCCTGGGGCTGGCTGGTGCTGCTTGTGGGAGGTGTCTGGGGGGGGGGGGTGTTGAGCCTTTTAGCCTGTGGGGTCCCCTCAGCCTCCAGGTCACAGTGTGAGGCCAACCGGACCACCAGAACAAAGCGGACAGTGATGTCAGAAGAATGCGTCACTCTGGCAGCCAGTACCACTACTATCACCCCCACTCACGCCCGCTCCCAGCAGGCATGTGGGGAGGCAGTGCCACCCTCATGTCACTCTCAGGGCCGTGTAGTCTTTGCACACTCAGCAGCCAGGGGGAACAGAATGAGTGTGTGTCCTGGTGGGCTGAGTACGTCCTTGGGTCGTGAGCAGGGCAGGTGTGGACAGATAGGGGCAGAAGGGCACTGGCTAAAGTGGAGCCACATGTGTGGCTCCAGGGTCCTTCGCCCAGGCCGGAGATGAGCGGAGAGCCGCAGGCCCGGCCTTGCTCCTGCCGCTTTCAACTGCACTCCTGACCCCTCCCCAGGACTCCGGGTGGTTTTGGGGGAGCTAAGTCAGCCGGGCTGGCGGGCCGGGCTGCAGGCTCCTGAGGACCCATACTGCACCGGGTCAGCACCCGCATGGTTCGGGGTGCAGAGCAGCGAGCCTGAAGCAGCGCGGAGCATCCCTGCCATCCTGTCCTGCACTGGTGTGCTCTGTGCCCCAAACCGCACGTCCCTGGCCCAAGTGAAAACTCAGCATTCCGCAACTCCACTTTCCACTGCAATCGCTCCCTGCAGCCTGCCGCTAAGTCTGGGAATTGTTTTCTGTCGGAGCCGCGCCCATCTATAAACCGGAAGCCACTCTGTCTGCGCAGGTGCCAGCAGCCACAAGTCACAGAAAAACCTGACGCAAACGACCTGCACCCGCGCAAAACTAGGCTCAGGCGTAACAGGCGGGCAGGCCGCAGGGTCTGCAGCTCCCCGCAAGGGCGCCCCCGCCCCACAGCCCGCAGTACTTCAGACGGCCTGCAGGGGGCACTGTGGGCGTGGGCGTCCTTGCTGGAGTTCAGCAAGAGGAAACAGAAATAGAGGGTTTCTCCCCGCAGCCTTGGAACCCGAGCCGTCCGTCCACCGAGTCAGGAGCATCCAGCCAGCCACCCCTGACCCCAGGCAGTTAGGGGCGCCCCAACCCCGAGCCCTGTGAACCCAGAAAGGAGCCGGCAGGAGGAGCGCCCGCATAGCCCCGATTCCCTACCAGAGCCCGACGCACTGCGCACGCGCACACATCCACGCTTGGCGGAACCTCTGCAGGGGCGGCTGCTGCCCAGGGGTCCAGGAGACGCCTGAGGCTTTGGAGGCCACAGCACAGGCTTTGGGACCTCGGCACAGACGCTCCACTCTGCCCCCGCAGTGCCTGTTGTCCCTGACATACACAGGCGGGCTCGTCTGTGTCCAGCAAAACCTCACTGCGGTGCACTGAAGTGCTAACGTCGTGAGAACATTCTTTTTCTGACTCTTCTCTACCATTTACAAACACTAAGACAAGCAAGTGTGCACATCCTCCGTCTGGCGAGGCTGGAAGCCCAGAACTGCCCCAGGATTCACTTCCTGCCTGGGGCCCAGCCGCCAGGTCTGCGCCTTGCCTGCTCAGAGCCGGCTCAGCCTACTCTCACAGCGGGAACCAGGGGCTGCTGCAAGACTCCTGGCCCCCAGCTGTGCAGCCCGGCGTCCCAAGATCCATGTCCCCCGTGAGCGTCAGCCGGGAGGGGCTTGGCCCGCTGACCTGGCCTCCGATTAGTTAGCTGCGCCATCTGGTTATTTTTCCTCTGAAAAGAAGCCCGGTTTAGCAGCAGACAGGCAGCCAGGTCTCCTGCCCTCATCCGCAAAGGGCGGGGTTCGAGCCTTTTGAAAAAACAGGCGTTGCCCCGAGAAACGATAATCCTTTGCAGCCTCTGTCTGCTGGCCGGCCAGGAGGCCTTGCAGAATCACCACGTGGACTCAAGCTGTCCTGTCATTTGAGTGCAGAGAGTCCTGTCCCGGGGCCTTCCCGAGCCCCTACAGGGATTGACCCTCTCGACTGCTCCCCCAGTCAGACGCACACACTGCTGCTGTCCCCTTGGGAAAGTGGGGGACACTGAGTCACAAGGGCTGACTATTGTGCCCAAGGTCACATATGTGGAGCCTGGATTTGAACCCCAGGCATCTGGCTGTGCCCTCGGAGTCAATCAGTGTGGCACCCTGAGGTCACACCAGCCGTCATGCATTCCTAGACAGTGACCCAAGCTTGGTTGCGTGCAGGGTAGGAAGGACACCGTCGTTTGCCTAAGAGTGACACCAGGCTGAGGCAGGGGCCGCCATTTCTCCTAACAGACCCTCGGGGATCCAGGCCGAGTCTGGGGTTCCTTAGTCCTGCCTGATCCAGGACTGTAGACTCTGGAAGAGACACCTGCTGTCCAGGGGCCCCTTCCCAACCCGGGGCAGTCACAGGCCAGGTCCTGCGGGGTGGAGCAGTCTGCCCTGGGCAGGGCAGCTCACCTCCCACCCCCAGAATTGCAGTGTAGCCTTCTGAGGGGGTTCCACTCCCCCCAGGGGTGGCAGGGAGTCCAGACGCCTGTCACAGAGCCCACAGAGGCGTTGGGGAGGTGGAAGAGGTGGGGAGCAGAGGTGCTCTCCTCATGGAGGCTCAGAGGCAGAGCCCTGAGGCAGAGTCCCCATGGGAGATGGACCTTCCAAGGCCTCCACACTCAGCTCAGAGCATCAGTGAATCCACAAATAGGCACAGCTCTCCCCCATCCATCGCCTCTCCGGAGTCCGTTCATCTGGGCAAGTCAGTTAACTCACACGCAGCCCCAGGAGGTAAACACTCTTCTCAGCCCCACCTACAGATGGGGAAACTGAGGCTTAGAGGGCTAAAGAACCTACCCACAGTCACAGAGCCTCTGGACTCATCCGAGGTGCCTGCTTGTGACCAATAGAGGGAGAGAAGCGCTTGGAAAACAGGAGGGAATCTGAAAAGCAGCTCTGAAGTGTGGAGAGCTGCTTACAAACATCACCTGCAGACCCAGGAGTTGGGAAATGATGTGCTTGTGAACTCTCATTTTGTTAAAATTGCCACTCAGGGCCAGGGATGTGGCTCAGCAGCACAGTTCCTGGCTGGCAAGCACGAGACCCTGAGTTCGATTCCCGGCACCAAAAAAGAAAATAGTTTTAAAAAAAAAGTTATAAAAACTTCCACACGGCAAAAAGACTGCACATGGACACTTGGATGTGAAAGCAACAACCCCCTAAGGAAAACACAGGCTAATTTAGAAAAGGTCTCTAAGGGTGTCAGGAGTCCAGCGGGGGAACAGGAAGCAGACAAGGGAGATGGACAGGCTTTGCTCGGTTCTGCTCTTGTTTGCCTAAAGCTGAGACAGAACTGCGGTGCCATTGTGCACAGGCAAGGTTGGCAGCTTAGTGACTGAAAAGAGCATGGGGGCCCCACAGTTTCAAGGACCCCCATTTTTCAGGGTTTTCTACTCGGGTCCCCTGGGCTGAAATTAAGGGCCTTGTCTCATGGAGTTCAAGTCCTTCTTCTGCTCATTCAAGTTGCCAGTGGATGCCAGACCTTGCAGCTGTAGGAAAGGGGTGCCTGGAGGTTTTGGGGCCCTCCTGAACCCCACCCCACCCCATATCAGTCTGTTCCTGTTCTTCCTGGAGACCGGCAGGAGACGGTCAGGTGCTTTACCTTCACCTGGCTATGCCAGGCCCACCTCGGTCATCCCTATTTTATTAACTCCATCACTGATCGGCAACTAATCATGAGTGATATCACCTGAAATTCCCACCCACACATGGGGGCGCTTAAATAGGGAGAGGCAATCTGAAGCCAGTAGAGAATCCTGGCTATCACACTTCACCTAATCTAGGTCCTGCTTTTAGATGCCACCTTTAAATGCCCTCGGGGACCCAGTACCAGTGACACCCGCAGGCCCGTGTGACTGTAGCAGGCTCCCTGGGAAGGAAGCTGCCTGGCGGCACCAGCAGTAACTCCAAATCTGCGGTGTGGCAGAAAGAGCGGGGCCATGTGGCCCGGGCCGAGCTGCCCTGGACTGGATTCCAGCCCCAACACTCAAGGCTCTGTGACTGTGGGTAGGTTCTTCAGCCCTCTAAGCCTCAGTTTCCCCATCTGTAGGTGGGGCTGAGAAGAGTGTTTACTTCCTGGGGCTGCGTGTGAGTTAACTGACTTGCCCAGATGAATGGACTCCAGAGAGGCGATGGATGGGGGAGAGCTGTGCCTATTTGTGGATTCACTGATGCTCTTAACTGAGTGTGGAGGCCTTGGAAGGTCCTTCTCCCATGGGGACTCTGCCTCAGGGCTCTGCCTCTGAGCCTCCATGAGGAGAGCACCTCTGCTCCCCACACCTTCTGCCATGATGCTCCCTGGAGGCGCTGGCCATGGACTGAACCATCTCAGCTCGTGAGCCAAGAACCTTTCCTCCTTTACATAGTGGCTGTTGGCTAACGGGAAGGCTGACCATGCTGCGTCTGTTATCACACAGATGCTGCAGCGGTGAGGCGAGCTGTCCTGCAGGCCTTGTGCTCTGGATGCTGAGTTGTTAACCTGCCAGGGGTGGGGGCAGGACTGTCTTTGTTGCTGTCTCTGTGATTGTTCTGTGAGCTAGAAGACATGGACCAGCCTGTGGTATATGAGGAGAAAAGAGAACTGAGGATGCGGAACAGAGCGGCACTCAGAAGAAAAACTGTCCACAGAGGCCCTGGCAGTTCATCCATCCATCCATTCATTCATTCCAAAGGGCTCAAGTAGGATCAACAGAGGTGCCTCAGTCACCTTCCCCAGTGCTGGGACGAGATACCCACCACCTGTGGAAGAGGTGGACACTGTCTAGCAGGGAGCCCACGAGGGCACAGCAACCCTGGGCCTCGAAGGGGCTGCCTGGGCTGATGCCAAGAGCCGGAGCCAGAGATGGAAGCTGGCGGAGCAGGAGCCCTCGAGGGAAGGCCTTGCCTCCGACATGCCCAGGTGTCCACTGTGACCCGTGTGTGCCCTGAGTACCCCTTGGTCTGCAGCAATGGCCAGGCCATGGGACAAGTGCACTCCTCTCCTGGGCTACTCTGAGCCGGTCCCACCACGCTCTCAGAATCCTCCTTGGAATCGAGCTGTCCCCCACTGTGTTGAGCTGCTGGGTCAGAGCCCCATCACCAGCTGCATCCCTCACACATACTCATCCCTACAGGCCTCTGGGTCCCCTCCCAGGGAAACACCCCACTGGAATGGGCCTCAGGCGCTTCAGGGGCCCCAAACCAGGACCCCCCCACCGAGGGCTCCCAGGAAGACTGGACAGAAGGGGAAGTAGGCAGAGGCAGGAAAGCACAGTGTGGTCTGGGGGGCTTCAGGACCCTGCTCTCAGGGTGTGAAGTTCCTTCCCAGTGGGAGTTGCAGAGTCCCTATGAGCTCCAGCCACACCCCTCACCCCTGCAGGGCTCTGCACAGCGCCCTGCACCCCACCACACTGCCCCATGAGCAGCAGCAGACACCCTGCCCCTGCTCTACGCCCCACAGGGAGAAGCCACCAGTGTCCCCTGAGGCCGCTTTTGCTGTCCCAGGACGAGGTAGGACGAGGTAGGACGAGGACTCCTACCTTTTGCCAGAGCAAGTGCACCTCTGGGTGCAGCACCCTGACATTAAGTGAGCAGAGGTTTTCTTCCTCCCAAACACACTCCTGCGTGCACATGTGCAGGAGTGTGCAATGTGTGTGTTTGGAGCAGTCTGGTCTGATCACTGTACATCTGTCCCCCTTCACACTCGGCCGAGTGTGCTTCTCCCTGACACTGGGCCAGGCCATCAACTTGCTGTGGCTAACGATAGGGCAGCAGATGCGACCCTGGCAGACCTTGCCCTGTGCTGCTTCCAGTCGCAGGGCAAATTCCTGTGCCAGGGCAGCAGAGTGGAGAAATGCAGAGCCACCCTGAGCAGCCGCCCCCAACCTCCAGACCCTGCATCGAGAACTCCAGAGCCGATCCGAGCTGCATGGGAGAACCCTGTTACGCAGCAGTGCTGTGGCCATCACTGATGCCCTGGGGTCCTGAAGCCCAGGCATGGAGTTGGGCAAGGTGTTCGGGGAGATGCTGGCCTGCTCTGCTGCGTCCAGCTCTGTGGTGTGGTGGGGACACAGGAACACACGGAAACACGGCTTTAGAGGGGATCAAACTGCTACAGGAGCTGACTTAGGTAAAAATATTACAGGCAGTCAGACAGGGTGGGGAGCCAGGGCAAAAGACCAGGTACTCACAACAGTGGAGAAGACGGACACCTCCACTGTGGGCCAGGCCTTAGTACAAAAGATAAGTTGGGTGTGGTGGCCAGTGCCTGTGATCCTAGCACGTGGGAGGCTGAGGCAGGAGATCTTTGCAAGTTCAAGACCAGCCTGGGCTACAAAGTAAGCTCAAGGCCGGCCTGAACTGCATAGAGAGACCTTGTCTCAAAAAGACAAAAAAAAGATAAATGAACCCACACACTTCTTAAGGATAAACTTCAGGGATTAATATTCTAAATAGGTCTGTAATGCCCTGAGGAAGGCAGGTGTCACTAACCAGCCCTACAGGAAGAGTCAATGCTCTCTAAGCACGCCCCCTTGCTATAGACTGGCTTCCCCATTTGTCCTGATGTAATCAATTTCACCTGAGCAGTTAATCTTATTAGTTTGCCATAGCTATCTTCCACCTCATGCCTACCTTGTGAGTTCCCATTTTCCCCATCTTGGACCCGCCTCACCTTGAGGTTTTGCTCTAAAAGTCCCTAGAAAAGACAGGGGCCCGGCAACCTACTAGAACCCCTTTTGTCTCTCTGCCAGACAGACAGAAGCTTTCTTTCTCAATAAATATATTCTGCTCTTAACCTCCATTGTTCCTAAAATTCATTCTTTGATTTTAGAGAGCGTGAGCTCCTACTGATGTCTAGCAGGCTGGCTGTTTCTTTCCCCTGAGGAGACAGCAGTTTTCCGGGCACAGAAAAGACTGCATCGGGGGTTTATGCCCAGCCCCGGGCTGGCCGGGATCTTGAGTTCCTGTGCAGAGAACCCACATTCCTCAGTCCGGCCAGGGCTTCTAGGAAGGAGGCATCAGCCAGACGTGGGTGTTTGACTTGACCGACATCCAGCAGCCCAGGGAAGAGACTGTGTGAGCCCAGCCAGGTGGCTGCTGTCTGTGCCACCCCTCTGCCCATGCCTTGGCAGGCGTTGGTTCCCACTGCGTGCCTCATGGCCGGGCAGCGAACAGAGCAGTTCTGTGTGGAGGCCGGGCACTCAGGCCTTGGGCCTGCTGCAGCAACCCTTCCAGCCCTGCTTCCCACCAGCTGGACTCAAGCTCTTATGGACGGTGTGGCTCTGGACCTCACCATCCCGACTATGTCCCAGTCTGCGGCTATGACTTCAGGCCCATGGATCACCCCAGCTGGGTCTGTTTCCCAACTTTAAATGGGTGCCGAGCCCTCAGAGTGTCAGGCTGGCGCCTGCTCATCAAATGTGTGTCCTGCTGTGGGTGCTGTTCAGATCCACTCACAGAGACCAGAGGCCCCCCTAGCATCTGGCCAGGCTGGACCCCAGAGCCAGGGTGGGGCCCCGGGGACAAGACTCAGAGGCAGGATCGGGTGCCAAAGCAGGGAAGCCAGCATCACCTCTGTGGGTAACAGACTCGGGTCCTGCTGGGGGCTCAGGGTCAGGCTCGGGTACTTAGGGTGCCCGTCAGTCATGGAGCAGGTGACACTGAGGGCCAGGAAGGAGAAATGGCTGTTGGACAATGAGGAGTGAGGCATGTGGCTGCGGGAGAGCGTGGCAGATGCTTTGGCTTGGGTGAAGGTTGTGTCCCAGCATGGCAGAGGCAGGAACCCAAGTGCCCAAGTGGACCCCAGCGACCACCTCTGTGTCCTCCCTGCCCTCTGTTGCTACTTGTCCCCCTCACTGTCCAATTAAACAGCTGCCTCCAGGTCCTGAGACAGACTCAGAGATGAAGTGCGGCAGGGTGGGGGCTGGGAAATAGCAACAGATGGCAGCCCTGATTTGCAGGATTTTCTGATCTCCATGGTCCCTGTCCAGTTGCCACGACCACTACAAGAGAATGTGGGTTGGCAGCACGAGGCATAGCACTGTATGGCACCCACGGCACAGGGATGGGTCACTACATAGACACAGTCGGCAGCAATCGCATGGCACAGCCATCAGAACGTGGTTGCTACTGCTGTCTAACAGAGATGTTTACATAGCATGTATAACTTTACTCCAAGCATTCTTGGGATTGCACAGCTCTCGGGGTTCACAGCTGTGTCACGGCACCCCTGAGTGCCTTAGCCATCAGCTCTCGAGGGTTGATACGAGCTAGCTCCAACTCCACCGCATGAGTACATGGGCACAGAAAAACAACAAACAGTGGCGAGCATCCCAGCTGCCCTGGGTGGACAGTCCAGGCTTTCCTGGCCCCTGACCACTTACCTGCAGCAGGAAGTCGAAGAGTGCCAGGCGTGCCCACTCAGCACGATGGATGCCCAGACACGGGGCCTGGCCTGGCCTGGTGCTGCAGCCATGTGCCAGCAGGGCTTGGTACTGCAGCCAGCCCACAGCAAGAGAGTTCTGGTCCTCCTCCGGATCGGCCAGATGCTGCACGTCAGGTGCCCACCAGATGACGGGCCTGGCGACACTATCCGTGTAGCGGTAGGGCAGCAGCGGGCTGCGGAAGCGACGGGCCACAGCAGGCAGACTCCGGCGCAGCCCCAGCACACGGTCCAGGTGGAAGGCCAGCACCTCCAGCAAGTCCTCAGGCCGCTTGATCAAGCCGCAGAGGCCCCGGGAGCAGTGTGGGCCGAGCCCGGGAAGGGCTGTGTCCTGGCGGGCGCCCTCAGCAGACAGCTCAACCTGCAGCACCTGCCCGTGGCCGGGGACCCGAGCTTTGCCCACCACCTCGCCCTGGGCCAGCAGCCGCAGCATCTGCACATCATGCTCTGTGAGCCATGGGGGCATCTGCCCCCCAATCCCTGGGGCAGCCAGTGGCTGGGTGTCACACCACACAGATCCTCGCAGATCCCCAGCAGAGCCAGGCCATGGTCTGTCCCAGGATACTGGTGTGGGGGCCCCTGTGTGCCCCCCACCCATGAAGGCTCTGTCCCCTGCTCCCAGCAGACCCATGCCTTCTGCCAGGCGGGGCCATGGGGTCAGCCCTGCATCAGCTGCCCCATTGGTCCTTTCATGCAGGCTGCCTGAGGTGCCAGTCTTGCTCTGTGTCTCCTCCATGGAACCCTCATGCCCTGGCTGGGCCCGGGCTTTGGCTCCTGGGTCTCTAACCTCCTCCTCTCTCAGAAGCACAGAACTCTGGGTGCGAAGTCCCAGGTCTCCTGTCAGAGTCACACCCCTCCTGACCCTTCTTAGATGCCTGCTGCCCCTTCCTGAGGGCTGCTTGCTCCTGTCTGCTGGCCCCTGGTGGCCTTGCTTCTCAGCACCAGCAGTGGTGGGATTTCTGGGCCACACTCGGCCTTGCCAGAGCCCCAGCATCCTTGTCCGCTGCCTCTGTCTGGAGCTCAGGACCTGTCGGACGTGGGGCATGAGGGTACCAGTGTCCCCCTGAGGCTCCATAGGACCAAGGTCTGGGTGGGTGACTGGACACTCTGCAGGGAAGTGGGTGATGGTCACCACCAACAGGCCCATCAACAGGCAGAAAGCCACCACTGTCCATCTCTTGCCATGCAGCCTCCTCCAATGCCAGGATGCCTGGGGAGGGACAGAAGAAGACAGCCTGAGACCCAGGAAGGATGGTGCTCTATAGTTAGTGTAAGCATAGTTCTGCACTTAGCAGATGACACCGTGTATCAGTGTTTGCACCATAATTATAGATATCTTTCCTTAGATTAAGGGGGTGCAGTCCCGGTTCTTAGGCTGTGTCAGCCTCCATGCTATTGTTGTTGTTGATTTTATTGCTACAGCCACAGCAGCACATTAGTTGTTCTTGACAGGTTTTCTCTATATCCCAGAGTCCAGATTGTCATTATAGTATTTCTGCTAATTCCCAAAGAAGATGACGCTGGGTCACATACTCTGCAGCCTCCCCTCCTGAATACAGAGGTGGCTGGATACGGGGACACAAGCGAAAGATAGCCGTGCCCAGAGCGCAGCCCTGACATCTACGCTAACTAAAGAGCCTCCATACTAGGGACAAGTCACCCGTTGGAACCGACCCGCAAAGCTCAACATGTGCATGCACCACACATGCATGCAGACGCACACACACGTGAAATACTAGAAGATGAGGCAAGGAAATGCTCCCCCAAGCCCCCAACTCTCCCATAGCTGAGCCATGGGGGGTGAAGGAGAAGTGGGAAGACACCAAATTCAAGAGCTTCTGCACTGCCAAAGAAACAGTTAGAAGAGACAACCTAGGGGATGGGGGAAATTCTGCCGGCTGCTCCTGAGACAGAGAACTAAGATCCAGGATATATGGAGAACTGAGAAACATCAGACCCCGAAAATAACAGACCCAGGCAAAAATAGGCAACTGAAATAGACCCTTCTCAGAAGAAGTACAAGTGGCCAATAATTACACAGAAAAATGTATAGCACCTCTGGCCATTAGAAGAATGAAAATTTAAAAAGCCCTGGGATGCTATCTTACTCCATGGAGGATGCCACCGTCGAGAAATTCAGCAACTGCAAACGCTGTCAGGGCTGTCAGGGGACGGGAACTAATACAGCCACTGTGGAGATCAGTGTGGAAATTCCTCAAAATAAGAAATTAGAAATTTCATTCAGCCCAAGTGTCACTCTCCTAGATACGTTCCCCAGGTGCTAAAGGCCTTATATTGCCAGGCTGCATGTACACCCATATTTGTAGCAGCACAATTCTAAATAACTGAATTTTGCAAATGGTCTGTATACACACTGACAGGTAAAGGGACACGGAGAATGTGTATTTATGCACAGTGGAGGACTAGTCGGCCCTACAAAGAGTACACAAGTCATCTGTAGGAAAATAGATGCCCCTGAGACCATAGTGTTAGGCGGAATAAGTCAGATGCACAGCTTAAATATCACAGGGTTTCTCTTCCAGGAGAAACCCAAAATATAAATAACAAGCAAGACAAAAGACAGGTACCAGGAAATAGGGAGATGGATCTTTCACAAACAGGAAGGACAAAGAGAGGGAGGGAGGCGGGAGGAGGGGACGGGAAGGGAGCACAAAAAGAATTAAAACGTGTGATGTCCAAGTCCCAACTGCACATGGGGAATGGGGCCATTCTGCACTGCAAATGTGGACTAAAAAATAAAATCTAAAATCATTAAAATTGAAATTTGTTTCAAGCAGATGTGGTAAACACGTAAACACAATGATGACTGCCATAAAAGATTTTATCAGAGCCACTGCCCTCCAGAAGCAAAGCCAAGCAGGGCCACACAGGTGAGCAGACAGGACAGAGAGGTCTGAAAATGCATGGAAAAACTGAACTAGTTCCCTTCCTCTCAAAATGGACTTAAGACCTAACCCTTAAACCTGAAGTTGTTATGGGATTATTTCCAGAAGACACAGGCGAAGCACCTCAAGATGCTGGCGTAGGCCACAGTGTTTAAGATAGGACTCTAAAGGCATAGGCAACAAAAGCAAAAACAGACTAATGGAATTACATCAGCTTGGAATGTAGGCTCAATTTGCACAGGACGTCAAATCAGCAAGGCATGGAGAGCAGGGAGGTGCTGATGGGATGTAAATTAATTGGTGCTGCTACTGTGGAAAACTGCATGAAATTCCTAAAAATTAAAAACAAAAGTGTATGTGACTCAGCAGTTCCAATTCCACTAATGGGTCATGAGCCAAGGGGCTGAAATCATAGTTCCAAAGAGATATGTGAACTCACAGTAATCAAAATATAGAATGGGCATTGTGGTGCACTCCTGTAATCTCAGCACTAGGAAGGCTGAGGCAGGAGGATTGTGGTGAGTTTGAGACCAGCGTAGGCTGCAAAGTGAGCTCAAGGCCAGCCTGAACTGCACAGTGAGACCCTGTCTCAGAAAGAGACCAAAAAAAAAAAAAAAAACACTGGAATCAGACCCCCTTCCCTAGGAGAATGGGGAGAGAAGAGGTAGTGTGTTTATGTACAGACTAATACCTGCCCAGGAGAGGAGTGAAATCCTTTCGTGTGCAGCAACACGGAAGGAACTGGAGGTCGCCGTGCGAAGCAACAGGAGCTGGACCCAGAGAGATGCTTCTCCCTCACTTGGGGAAATCGAGAAGATGACCTCGTGGAAGAACATGAGACACAAGTCACCAGAGACGGGAGGGGACAGAGTGAGAGCCCCAGAGTGGAGGAGTGCCCTCAGCACAGGACAGCGACCAGGGGTGACACAGCCCGTGAGGACACAGCGTGACCAGAAGAGTACGAAATCCCTCACTCAGAAGGGCTGCTGGTGGCTGGAGAGAAGGAAGCGCTCGGTGCCCTGATGCGATTGCTACACCCGCGCTCAGCTGCCCGATGGAGCCTGGAAAGAGGCGCAAGTGGGCTAAAATGCAAACAGACCGACCAGGCTTGTGTTTGACCAAGGCGGCCCGAACGGTGCACTCGCGGGAGGATGATGGGCTCAGGGTGGGGACGCGCTCGCAGGACGGGGACAGAGGTCACACGCTCCTGTTCCCACAACATTATAGAGCACGAGCAAAGTGCTGCTTTTTAGGGTGAGGCCACATGATAGAGGTGTGAGTGTGTAGTGAAGGACTTGGGCTCTGACTCCAGGCACCCTCGGTTCTGTCCCCTGACCTTGGCTCGCTCACCTTCACCGACCCGTCGACCTCAGACAGTGAAACTGGCAGCCATCTGGGGCTGGAGTTTCTGTGCCTGCTGTGAGCTTAGCCCAGCAACCGTCAGAACAAAACTGTGCCTGGGGGAGAAGCCGAGAGCAGCTCCTCATTGCCCTGGCTTAGAACCACATGTCCGTCCTGAGAGTCACTGCGCTAGACCCAGCGGGCCTCTGAGGCTCGGCGTCCAGGGTCAGGCTCCACGGCCGCGCCAGGACCCTGCTCAGGCCCTCCAGAGCACTATGATTTTCCTTCCACATCAGCAACTTCAGGACCAGGAAAGGCTTTGGCCCCTATAATTTCTAGCCCAACAATTTAAAGGAAAAAGAAAGAAAACCAAAGGAATGAAAATGAAAGTCTGTTCAGCACAAGGCTCACACGGCAGCAAGGCAGGGCAGGCAGCACCCAGGCCTCTTGAGCACTCGGACCCTCTCCCCAGCAGGACAGAGGACCGGAGGGCCCAGTCTGGGGGGTAGGGCGAGCTCAGGAGGCTCCGGAGCGCAGTGTGGGGAAGGAGCCGGATCCACCTGCCTTTACGGGTTGGTTTGCTTGTTTTGTGGCTCTGGGGATGGAACCCAGGCCTGCATTCTCCTGCTTCTTTTGTCGTTGCTTTCAACAACTTCGGGTAACCTTGCTAAGCCATTCCGGCGACTTCCAGCGGGCCCTGACCGCTGGTGATTCAGCGCAGTGTCCGCACAGTGTCCGCACAGCAGGTCCTCCAGGACAGGGAGACGCTGCTGCTCACGATGAGAATCACCCCTGGCCTGCTGTCCGCCTTCGCTGACCTGCGCACGCTGCCACCTTCCTGGGGCCTCAGAAGAAGCATGCAGAGCAGGACAAGGGGCCACAGAGGTCCACACACATGGGACTTAGAGGATGAGATGGGACACAGGTCCTCAGAGGGGTCGTCTGAAATTCTCTGCGTCACGTTTCCCAAGCCCACCTGGTCCATGCCAGCCTGTGAGTTGCTCCGGCCAGGCTGGGTTGGGCACAGCCACCCTGGGACGGGAGGGACATTTTCTTGTGTGCTGATGGTGGCAGCTCCTGCTGAGGAGGGAGGTGAAGACCAGCAGAGCTCTTCAGAAGTGACAGCTCTGAGCTGCAATGGCAGAGTCGGAGCTGGCAGTGACCCCTGCCCCAGGCGCACCCCAAGCCCTCGGAATGAGAGAAGGCCGGCAAGCACCGCTCCAGAGAGCTTCGTCCAAAACAAAAATTACATTTCAAGAATGGTAACAGAAACTGGAATTAACTCCCAGCCCACTCTATAGATCTTTATACATAAAATGCTGAAACGGTGTTTTACAGGGCGGTGGGGATTTGAGGAGCTTCAAGAAGCGGCCCAAAGGCGTCAGGGTTCTGTCAGGGACCTTGCCCTGGGCTCTGGGCTCCCTGCAAACCCCAGATCCTCGCCTGCAGGGAGAAGTGCTGGGCAGGAAGCACTGGAGCCCGGGTCACCTTGCTCTCCCTCCTCACAGAGCTGCACTGTCTTCTGCACCTGCCAGAAGCTGACCCCAGGGGCTGGGGATTTAGCTCAGCGGCATAAGCGCCTGCCTTGCAAGCAGGCAGTCGTGAGTTCGATCCTCGGTACCGATAAAAAAAAAAAAAAAAAAAAGAAACAGAAGCTGACCCCAGATTGTAGCACTGTGGGGTGGGGGACTCTGGGAAATCCTGAGGCCCTCAGGACACAAGCATGGGAGCCTGGGCACCCCGGGACAGGATGCTGGCGACCTCCCCTGAAGGACACTGCTGCGACATCAGTTTTAGTCCACACAGAGCCCTGGACAGGAAATAGAGACGCCAGTGTAAAGAGGCCACCCTCAGGCCACTTGCTGTCCCCTTGTGAAAACACAACTGATCCAACCAATCTCTCCCCACCCAGGTCGAGCTGGCAGACCGAGGAACACCTGGAGCAGAGTGAACCCTGGCCGAA